TAGAGATATATTTGAATATTAATATGGTGCATTCTTCTGCTGATTTTAATTATGCGGAAAGGCACAAGAAAACATTGGTTTATACGTGAGTTATTCCATATAATGAGTTTAGGTTCCCAAAGGATAAAATGATGAGAAAAAATGAACTGAATTCATTCGATTGATTCATTTTTTTAAAAATTCTTTCATCTACTTGATGACAAAACCTTCATTCCTAAATTACAAATTTACTGCCCAGGAAGATGATGAATAGAGGAGAACAATGAATACATCTCTCAAATACCAAACAAATACTCGTATTAAATTTTTTTCACAATGGTGCATTCAACATTAACTAGAAAGTGTCCTTATATTGATTACAGGTAATATTATCAGAAACCTTCTGAAGAATGAATTGTTACTTACTTTTTCAGCTTATATATTATTTTCCAAACTTTCAGCTTGTATCTATTTCCTGAAATGATCTTGTCCTACGCTGTACAAATTATGTTGGCCAGCAGGAAGACACAAGATAACGAATAAGGTAGAAATTTATGGAGATGTCGTGAAAATTGTTCAGAATTAACGTCGTATTTACGCGAATTTATAGTTTAGGAGAGTGAAATAAAAGTAGAAAATTACAAAACGAATAATGTTTGGCTTCCACGTCGTTAAGTTCAAGCAGGAATTTATGTCTTTGGAGTTCATGGAGCGTTTTTTTGTCTTCATTGGATTGTATTTCTTGATTATTGTCCAGACTCCATTCGATCCAACCAACTACATCATATTGTGATATGACTGTTGTTTCAACATTTTATTTATGTTTTTTAAATGTTTATTTCAATAAAATGCAATGAAATGAAAAATCATCTCTGAGTGTAACTGCATAGTAGGGTGATAGCAGTGTTCCACAATTATTGGTGATATAAATCAGTAAATAATGATATTGGTATAAGGGTAACAAGGTTATATGAAAAGAGGGCATGCACTCATGAGCAGTAGGTACACATATTTTGAAAAAAATGTTATCTTTATAATTTCTGCAGGATCAAAATTTACAATACATCTATCTGCAGAAGCTAAGTGATAGTATATAGTATGTGAATAGCAAATTCATTATTCAATTTGGTGAAATTTGTATGGTTGGAAATCAACTGATTAGGAAAGAAAAATTAAATTCCATGAAGACATTGTTGAGGGATTTGATAAGGGATTAATTAGCACTCTGCTACTACTAGATTTTTCGAAAGCATTCGATACCATCAATCATGAGCTGATTTGCATGAAACTCAAATATTATGGTGCCTTATTTCTCATC